AAAAAAAAAAAAAAAAAAAAAAAAAAAAGTTCAAAGTTTTATCGACTTTCGATGAGATATTTCCATTTGTTTCAAGCAATATTCAAAGAAAATTGAACACGAAAATGTATACGTCGAAAATTAAAATTTTTAATCGAGTTCGTTATCAAATATTTCTGAATTTACTTTTCGTAATCGAGAAAATTTTTGAGCCGTTGTAAAATTGATCTGAAGAGAGCCGGAACCGGGTGTATCAACGAGGTTTCCGCCTGGCAACCACTGCCGCGTGCCATGGGGTCGGGGATGAAACGAGTTGAAAGAAATGAAGAGGAAAAAGAAGAGTCAAGGGGGTTAGATAAAAGTGCTCGTGAAAAGGAGATGCCAGTTGCCATGGGGTGAGAACGAGGGACGGCGGACCTGTGGCCGAGGGTTCGAGAAAATGGATCGATGATTTTCAAACGAAGAAACACATTCGTGAAGAATCTTACAAGTTGGCTTACAAGTTTGCTTCTCTTTAAGAAATCTCTTTATAATATTTTATTATAGCGTGAAGAGATCATTAAAAGCTTCTTAATATTTATCGCGGAAATTGACAAAAGCACAAGAATAAATAACATCACAGATTAATATTACGAAAATACATTTAAAAAAGTAAGAGATGGATTCGTGGCAGGAATTGAGTTGCAATTTTTTTCCAGTGGAAAATATTCGCATACATTTTTTTAATCCCTCTTTTGTACTTTTTTTTTAATCGTCGTAAGAGCAATTCTGTATATCCATTTGTCCGTTTTATTCCGTTAGATCTGTATTTCGATAAAAAAAAAAAAAAAAGAAGAGAAAGAGAGAGAAGTTAGAAATATTTCAGAAAATATCTCTTGTAAAAATTGTTGTATCAAAAATCTGATAAATATTATATTCGGACAAATAGAAGCTGAATTCACAGGAGAAATCTAAAGAGAAATTTTTTTTATTTTTTTATTTTTATTTTTTTTCGAATTACATACATGTACGAGAACGACATCGTCGTAAATCGATATTTCCACAAACAATACAAAGAGTAAACAAAACTGTTACTTTAGACCATAGAATAAAAAGCCACAGAAAACAGAGTCGCGCAATTCGAATTTCCACCTATTTTTCGAAAACCAATTTTTCGATTCGTATGCGTGCTCACGTGAACATCATTTGTGAAGAGGTAAAAAAAAAAAAAAAAAGAAGAAGAAAAACGAGAAAGAATGTAAAAAGGGGAATAAAAAGAAGAAGAAAAAAAACGAAGCAGCAGTCAGAACGAAAGCAAAAGGCGAATAAAAGAAACAAGGATCGGTGTGACACGTATTCTTAATTGTGCCACGACCCTTCGCGCCGCCATCGTTCTTTACCACTTCTTCTTCCTTCTTCTTCTTCTTCTTCCACCTTTCTCTTAATTACAACGGCCAAGTTTCCGCAAACAGCAAAAGTTCCCCGTAAAATTCGTCTTTACCGAGCTAATGAACTTTTAACCAATTTAAGGCAGAATTTTCATCGAGTCTCGCCGTTTGCATTTTTATTACCTTTTCCTCGTGGAAAATGATCCTTTCCCGAAGAACCACCGAGAAACCTTTTCCACGGTGTGAAAACAAGAGGAGAAATAACGGAGTTGTCGTTCGAGTTATTTCACCGGTGCTTCGCTTTGCTCGAAAAACAAATTTAAAATTTATGTATCCGTTTTTTTTCTTTTTTGAGGGATTATAAAAAGGATAAGAGGTGTTGTGAATTATCAATTCACTTTTCTCATGGATTCATATATATGAAGTATCATATATCCTGGATTTTAAACTTTATTATAAATCTCGATATAACGATTCCAAAAAATATAATTTCTACACTCTGTCGAGTATTTATATTATTACGCGTAGGAAAATATAAAAACTCATTATAATTCTAATATTTCTTTCGCTACCATTAAAAATACAATTTCTAAAATACGAACTCGAACTAAAAATCGAACAATCAGAAGAAAATTAGGGTACCTCTCGTCATTCATTCGCCTCTCGATTTTAAAAATCTCTCCCTCTGAGTTGAAACTACGTATATCAAAAGAACGATAACTTGATATTTCCCTTCGATTTATTTCCTTCCGACAAAATCGTTTCTCCCTATCCTCCTTTCCAACTTATCTGCCGTCAATTTATCGACACTGCTCTCGATCTTCCTCGCGGAAGTCTCATTAACACGAGATCTGGCGCGACGAGGAAGAAAGAATACGCGAAAAGGAAATTTTTCCTCTCCCCTGATGGACACAATGAGCGGGGATAGGCGAGAAATCGGTCAAAGGAACGAAATATTCTTAATTACCCGCGAAACTAACTACCAAGGAGATAAGGAGCGTTGGAGAGGAGCTCGAGAAATGATGGGGTTGAAAAATGGAGGAAGGGGAGAGGACCATTGCGTCAAAAAGGGGTCGGTTGGAAAAATCATCCTCCAAGATCTGACCGCTAGTCGCAACTTACTTTGCTTTGATGCAAAAATAACCGCCACCCGAGTGTGAATTTCGTGATTTTATAGCCTCTTCCCCCTTTTTCCAAGGTGAAAAATATGGAAGAATACGAAGAATTACGTTTCATGCGGTGAGACGGCTCGTTTAATTTTTCAAACGGTTCCTCCCTCTTTCTTTTTCTGCAGGAATATCAAATATCTCGCAACGGATGGTGTAAATAGCGAGATACGCGGATGGAGATCAGATGGAGATTAAGGTATGATGGATGGAAAATGGAGAAAGTGGAGAGTTGTTTTATTGAAAGAGATAAAATGGTTCCTTTGTCTCTTCTCGATAATTTTCTCGATCCCTGTGTATGAGATAAATTAATTGGGAGATCTTGAAATGGTGTAAATAGCGCGAACGAGATATTTGTTCAGATTGGTTTCGATATATCGATGATTAGATCGAGGTTTAATTAAATTGCAAAGGATTTGTAAAAGAGATTTTTGGATATGGCAGCGATTATCACGAATATGTTATTTCATACGTTCAAATATTGGCACATTATCTCTATCGATTAAACGTGTAATTTAATATGACACTCGGAAATTAATTTATTTGAATCAGATTCGAATTATATTCGCGAAATTTGCATTTGTAAAATCGGCTATTCACGCGTGAATATCTCTTGTAATTTATAAGATGATATGATATTCGGGATATTTCAACAAATCGTTCGCAATTTCCAAAATTATCTATTTTAAATAGAATAAATAAAACCAATTTCTACGAATACTTATATTATATATATATATAAGTATAATAGTATAAAGTAAATATATATTATATATTATATTTATATATATATAAAATAATTGATTTCGCTTTATAAAAAAAAGTTATTGGCCTTTCGACGGGTTTAAACAAGTTTTCGAAATTCCGTTTAGGAAACCGCAATATCCACCGCTTCGATTCCGCGATAAAGTCGCAAAATACTGACCCGTTCCGGAGAAAACCCAGCAACCAGTATTTCCGTTTTCATTTCGTGGCGCATCCGTGGCGTAACGAAGAAAAACAGGCGTCCCGATCGAAGCCACCGTTTGAAATATGTACGCCCGCGACGGGATATTTGTCAAAAATCGATCGGCAACGAGGACGAAAGGACAAACACGCGTCTCGTCGAGACGTTGGAACGGAAAAGCCCGCAACGTTGAAAGATGAATCGGAGGATGATTTAGCTGTTCCAGAGTGGCTTTCGAGATTGAAACGTCGCTACGAAACGATAACCGGAATCGTTCCATTTCCGGGATAATTATTTTTCGAAAGACGAACGTAAGCACGATTATCTTGGAGAAATTGTGCGACAATTTAACTGATTTAACTTTGTAATCGATGCAATATTATTCTTATTTTTTGAAGATATAAAAATCGACTGTTATCGGGATAGATTTTTGAATCTAACGGTGCAATTATATAATGTGACAGTATGATATAACGAAAATGAAGATTTTAAAACGGAAATTTGTCACAACAATAGTTGGCTTACACTTGTACTTTGTTCGAATCTAATCCACTGGTTTAATCCACTTCTCCAACCATAACCAACCCGCGCTACTTATCCGAATACCACAGCCACTTGTCTGGCTAAATCGACCTACTCTACCTGTCTCCTCATAATTGCTCTATTCTACTTGGTTGACCATAGACGCTCTGTTCTACGTTTGTAACTTATTCTGTGTTCTCTACTTGCCTATCCTCCTCATTTTCGATATCCCAAAAAATTGTGCAACTACGCTTCGTGCAAATTGAACGAAATATATTTCAAAATTGAACAAAATAACCTAAAAAATCCATAGCGCTTCCACGAAAACGCATTACACATTATCATCCGACCTCCGATTCCGCAATTAAAGAAAAAAGAGAGGAAGGATGAATCGGAGAAACAGAGAGGGGTGGAGAGAATAAACGAAACGATCGGGCACGAAAATGGGAAAGGCTAAATGGTGAATCGGTAAATCGAGCGAAAAATCGGAAAGTTTTCCTCGTATCGCGGAGGATATTTCGAGCACACGGCCTCATCTACATAATACAAACGAACGATACGCGGCTATTGATTCGAGATCGATTCCCACGGCCGGCTGGCCACAGGGGGGATGCCAGTGCAAATACGGACCGGTTTATCCAGGTGCAAGTGTTTATCGTGTAACGCGAATTTATCGTGAAAATTGTGACTCGTGGTGAGCCTCGAACCTTGTAAATGACATTAACGCGAGATTAACACGCGAGTCGAACAACGGAAACGGCGAAGTTTTATCATCGAGATGGTAAAATCGTGGTGTGGGTGAACTTTTTCTTCGCTCATTTTTCGATTTTTTTCCACTTCTCCTCCCTTTTTTTCTTCTTTTTCTTTCTCTTTATTCGGTTTCTTCGTTTCGAAATTTTTCCAAACGATCGTATCGCGCGAATGTCAACTTGTTGAATTGTTTCCCTTTCTTCTAGTTGATCACGAAATACTCTCTGGGATATTTTTCATTAGAAAACGTGATTTTGTTATCCGATGATGAAAATATATCCGTAGAATTTCGTTTCTATTCTTTCGTACGAAGAGGAAACGATGCGTCGTGAAATTTCAATATCTTCCACTATATGACTTTGCCTAGATCACTTATGAATAAATTAAAATGCTGAAATTCTATCGAACTACGAAACATTTTCTTGGAAAATGTTAATGAAATTATTTTTGTTAATTTATCCTCAAAGGAAAAACGTTTTCTCTATATTATTCGTCTCTTTGCCTCGTTAAACAGAAAAATTGATTGATTCTCTTTAGATTAAACTCGAGAAAGAGCAGTATCGCGCCAAAATTTTGTTAAATCGGAACGAGAAAAGAGAAACGATATCGGGGAATCAGAGGTAATGGTGAGAGCAATTATTAGTCCAATTCCAATAATTTATTCGAATGGAAATCATAAGACTGTAATGGAAGAAAACGCATCGAGAGACAACACTTCACGAGCACAACATTTTCGAAAGAAGATTAGAACAGATGCTCCCGTTGTAGGGGCAACGAAATCTACAGTCAGCCGACCGATATATCTGCCCTGCTACCCGATTTATCTAAACTTAATTTCGCCCGAATTGCTCCTGCACCGGGTAAACGAGGCTATTGCTGTTAGTTTATAGAGCGGATATTACTGGATAGTACTTTACGTTTCGATGATAGAAAAGAGGGAAACCTGATGCGCGAAATGAAGAAACTAAACTCCTTTCGTTTCTCGATACTGAATCTATTCTAACGTACCTTTGAAATCTATCTATTCTGAATAATATTAGTTTTTTGATCAACGAAATTAATGAATGCCAAAAAAGAGAAAAGAAGAGTGATGAAATTTAATTTTGGATTAGATAAGATTAGCGTAAGATTAAAATTATAGAAAATCGCTATCGGCTAAAAAGATTCGAAGCTTTTTCTTTCATTCACCAATGTTTGACTGTTCACAAATGAGGCTTTATCGAAGGATATTTAATATTAAAAAATATCTTAAAAGTAAGGGAAAATCGTTGTTCGTGCAACGTCAAATTAAAAATTATTCTTGAAATATTACAAGTATCTCTTTGTGATACTTACGATGATTTATAACCTGCTTTTTCTCATTACCTCCCTCTTAATATCCATTTGCTGTTGAATATTGAACGTAATCTCTAAAGTTGACGGAAACGGATTAGGCTGGTGCCACAGCAAGCAATGACGCAAGAACGAAAACAACGAGGCACCGAAGATTATGAGCAAGTTTACCTCGCGGACCGGAGTGGATGATGTCGTTCTTGTAGCGAGTTTACGAGAAAACTTGCGCAATCTGGCTGAATGATGCCCTCGAGAAATCAAATGGAATGCAAAATGTGTTAAATTAAACTTCTTTCTTGTCAAGAAAATAAGTGAAAATATTTTATATATCGTTTCATTGCACAGGATTTTGTTCGAGGAAAATGCTACTTATTCCACCGTATATCGTGTTTAGTATCGTGTGTATGTATGTATGTATGTATGTATGTGTGTGTGTATTTGTGTTACACTCCTACTAAAGTATGATAAAGATCAGTATAAACGTAATTACGGTAGTTGGAACATTGCGAAATGCGAAAACGAAAGTACTTAACCATAAAATTTGCCATAACAAGATCAGGAGATATGCTGGGGATTCAAATTCATAATATTTACTAATGATAATTTTAATATCTTGGGACTCGAGATGATAATAAACAAATTATAAAACTCTATTAGTGTGTTTTAAGATCGTAAAATTTAATAGAAATAATTTCTCTGTCGTTTAAAGCTTGTAAAGCCGGATAGCGATATTTTAGAAGTCTTTATAAACCGTAATAACGTAATTCTCGAAGCCTTGAAACTCGATAACAGAAAACTCTTTGGAGTCTTTGAACTCGGTAATGAAGACCCCGGAATCTCTGATTTTAATGTTGTCGAACCCGAATTTTCAATAGCTATCATAATATCTATTAAAAATTGCTTTGTATACAAATGTGAACAACGAATCGATTGTTATAAAATTGGCTATTACAAAAATGAATCCTGATTTGAAAAGGATTCGTTTTATCTATTATCGTTAAAAATATTTCTTACGTTTACGAATAACACGAAAATTTTCCACGATCACGATCATTCAACATAACGTTTTTCTTCTAAAATTTCAAAGTTTCTAAAAAACTGAAATTTCTAAATCAAAAAAATTGAATGATCGAGAAGTGACATCGAATCGAAAAAAGAAAGGACGTTTCGACTCACCACCGTGATAAGAATTGCCCCGATGAGGAGTGTACACGCCATTCCTTGGCTCAGGGCAGTGGCTCGGCGTGTAATACTGCATGGGATGGTGAACGTAATTGCTCGGGGTGCTCGGCACGTGTATTGGGTGGCAGTGCATGCATCTTCGCGGTGTCTCCGGCATACCCTGAAGAAAAAGAAAACGTCTGCAGTGCATCGAGAAAAGTAGAATCCATGATAAATTGCGACGATCGACGGCGCATCTTGGAAATTAAACGTCGTTGGATATCCACTGACGGGTGTGAAAGTGTCGCGAGCGCGGAATACCGATTAGGCGAGGAACGTTGCTGCCAATTCTAGTAAAATGATCGACGATTTCCACTCGAGAGCTTAATGTTCGACGAACATCGACTTTTGGATCGATAATCGAATCAATGTACCATCCCAATGTACGAATCCCATTAGAACGAGATTTATCTATTGATTCATCACAGTTTGTTTTATCAACAAAATTATCCACGCTACTTTTTTTAACCTAATGTAATAATTTCTCAAAATTTCTCTAAACGAATGTGTCGTTTACAGAAATAAAAGTTTAATCTCTAACTATCGACACTCGAAGATTTATCCGAATTAATTAAGGCACAAAATTGATCATGAAACTATTAATATTTAATGTATGTAAAAGAAATATAAAAAAAAATAAAATAGAATATAGACAAACAACTTCTCGTTTGTTATCGATTTCCAACAGATCGATACAAACTTAATCCACGATTCGTCGAACGATCCTATCGAAATAGAAGTTTAATCTAATTTAACTAACTAATCTAACCTACACGAAGAATTATCCGAATTAATTAGGGGATAAATTCGTCATGAAACTATTATTTAAGAAATATAAAAAAAACAAAATAGAATATAAATATAGACAAACAACTTCATTATCGATTTCCAACAGATCGATACAAACTTAATCCACGATTCGTCAAACGATCCCATCATTATATAGAAATAGAATTAATCTAGCTATGAAAAATTATCCGAATTAATTAGGGGATCATGAAACGATTATATGGGTAAATATAGACAAAGAAAAACCTTGTCGTTCGTTATCCCAACATTATCGATCGACAAACTGGACGATTAATCCACACGATTCCTCGAACGACCATCGATCCGCAAGATCATAAAAGCAAACTCCAATTTTTTAATACCTGCATAGAATGCTGGGATCGCAGGGACCTTATCGAGCCTGCAGGGTGAAGGGAGGGCACGCTGCCGCCGAAGTTGATCCCGGAATTCCTACACCCGCCAGGGGTGGACCAACCCCCGCGCACGCTGGCCGAAGTCCACCCCATCGTGCTGCCGCAATCGTCGACCAGCATTTTCACAGCGGACCTAGCATCTCATTGATCCTCTCTCGCCGTCTCGATAATCCGGAATTCCTTTTGATCCACCTCTGCTCTGCTCCACCGCCGCAGCTCTCTCGAGCGAGTTTCCCTCCTCCTCCTCTTCCTCCTGTTTCCAAGATTATTCCTCGATGTTATATATCCTCGAAGTTAATCCCTGATAATTGCTGTCGATTCCACGGACGCTTGGAGGATATTGAAAATCGTCGAGGCACGATGATTCTATGATCCCTCCTCGCGAGAGTCATCTTTCGACGATGGGCTGGGCTCGAAACGATCCGGGCACGGATCTGCGAGAACAGAAAAATATAAGATGAGAGCTGGGAAGGTAGATGGCAGTCGATTAGAGAACTGTAATTAAGAGGGGGGAGAGGATGGTGGAACCGCGTGAGAGATAACGGTAAAATGGAGGGACGGGATTAAAACTGTATTTTCTCGATGAGGATTCCGCTGGAACGACGACGAGAGATAAGGGATGATTCCGCGATGTTTTCCTTTTTGCTGCATCGTCGAGCTTTTCGAGGAGTGATTAAAATTGTCCCCTATAATTATAGGATGAACGGGGTGTTTAACCCTTTTGCGGTTACGAGAAAGAGATATAATCTCGGGTATAATGTAAGGAATAAGATTTATTTTATCTATAACATTTATGATATTATAATTAATATGATTCAAGAAATGTTCGGTCCAGTTCAAATTTAAACAGCATCAGAATATATAAATCTATTGATCGTTATGATATTCTTAATTTTGAGGTATCAAAAGTTCTAAGATTAAGAGTATTGATGATAAAGAGTGAAAGAAGAAAATTAAAAATATATTACGCAATATAATTTTATAAATTAGAATAAGAAATAATGAACGATAGTTTTCACTAGTGAATATGGATTAATAAATGATTACGAATTTACGAAACACGAGAAATTACTTTACTGGAAACAGAAAAAAACTACATTTCTCTACCTCAATAATCTCAAATACACGTAAAATCATCGCGATTTATATTGTGCGCGTATGCCATAATAAGAATTAATCCGCGACTAATTCCGTGTACCGTGTAAATAATCTCAGCCGACTGTGAAGCGAATGTCGTGGGGGAGAGGGAAAAAAAAAAAAAAAAAAATACTACCGGTTCGGTCTATGGAACCGCGATTAGGACAATCCAAAACGAGTTTTCTAGGGGTCTAGAAGCGAAACGACCCGTGAGCCAGAGATGCGAATATTGTTGTGTAAAAAAAAAAAAAAATTTAACTCGCTTCATATGCATAAATAAACGGGACCATGGAAATGGATTCATGGTTCGACTTGTCCGTTTTCCGCCTGTAAAATTTATCACGAAATCGTTCCGCTTATATGTCCACGCAAAATTTCGCGAATATTCGTATGACGTCAGGAATGAGATTTATCTGAATCTCTGCGAAAATATTATATAGTTTTTATATTCGTCCATTCGTGTGTGTGTGTCTGTGTGTGTTCAAAAAGGAAACAAAGTGTTAGAAAAATAGAGATTTATGTATTTCTTTTGTGGTAAAATTTTGAATATTGAAAACCGAATGGAGATTTTTTTTTTTTTTTTTTAAGTTAATAGGATAATAATCGTAACGTTTTATCATTGAATTATGCGTGAAAATTTTATAAAAATTTTCGTAGAAATATACATGTCGAAATTTAGGTTAAATAAATTTTAATTTTGTAATGTGTTAAAAATGATAAATAATATTTTTAGAAGCACGTATCAATTTTGCAAATTTTAATGTTATATAATCTATTTGCGCGATATCTCATTTGAATTAATAAATTAATAACCGACACGAAATTTTAGCCAGAATTACATCTCCATTCTGCAAGATAAAGAAGGAAAGAGGAATGCAAAAATTATATATCGCATGATACAATTTGCAAAATTGTTGAAAATTACCTGATAACTTCTTAAATAAATTTTGCAACATATTTTACTTTATTTCCTATATTGGTATTTTCAAAAATGTATCTATATATTTTCTATTCATAATAATTCTGTGCGTTGTGTATCCAAGTGTGTTCATATTGGGATATAAAATATCGATATATGCGAATAAATGGAGCGTTCCTTCCTCGATAAATTATTATTTTTTTTTTTTTGTTTTACAATCTTTCCACCCTATAACCCAAATGTTTCAATGTGAATAAAAAATACCTCGCAATATACACGCCTAACGTTACAAATACTGAATTTGGCATAAAAAATATTTTTCGATTTTTGCAATCAATATTACTTTTCAAAGCCACACATTTAACGTTAATATAAATATAAATATCTACAATTCCAAAAGATATCTATACTATTTTTTTTTTCTACAATATGTTACATTCGAAAACTCGACTCAAATCTGCAATACCAATCATCTACCAATTGTATTGATAAATACCTATTATTCCAAATCCTATAAAACCGATGGAAACCCCTATAAAATATTTATTTATTTGAAAAAAAAATCCCCTATTTTTAAACTTATTTCTGAATTATTAAATCGAAAGAAAAAATTAAATTAAAATCTCACACAATGCGCGAGAGCAACCATTTCGAATTAATCCATGCAACTTTCTCTTATCGATTCTCGATCCGATAAATTTACGACTTCCATAGTTGATGGAATGACCGGTCGTTTCGTAAACTCGATACTCGATTTCACGGCCGAGATTCGTGCGCGCAACTTTCGCAATAAGAAGGAGCGGACCGGAAACAAATGGCGGATTTGTATGCGCCACTCCCCGTATATATTTCAACTTTACCACGAAAGAGGAGGAATCTCGTTGCGGAATGCAAAAACATCCCGGTGCCGTAAATCTTTTTACAAAACGCTTTTTAATCGAAACACTTTGCGCGAACGAAGCCCGAAAGTTCGTTTCCAAACGCCAATAGTTTCGGTATCGAGTTTTTAAATACGAGAAACGATCAAGAGGATGAAATTTACGATTCACGATTCAGTTTCGCGAGTTATTTTCCATCGATCGGAATATATTCGAAATTGTTTGTCTCGTTCTTTCGTCCAATTCATTTAATTATTAATTGTATTCATTGTATCGAAATACATTAATACTTTTTAGATTAAAAGATCTTGAAATTTTTCTTCGAAAAAAATCTCATTTTCTTCTCATATATTATATTTAAATTTTTGTCAAGAAAATAATTTTTAAAGTTGATTAAATTTTAAATTAAAGAACGAGAATTACATTATAAATTAAGATGAACTTATCGTGTTTATCCGCATTCGCTTTGATTAAATCCTTTCCTCTCTTTCTCTCTCTCTTTCTCTTTCTTTTTGAATCCAATATTTCTTCATTAAAAAAACATCAAAACTTTTCAGGAAAAAAGGAATATCTCGTGTTTCTCGCCATTTCTTGAAACGAAAAAGAAAAAGAAAAAAAAAAACTCGACTTAGCGATTCAACATTTGCATTTCCCTCGAAACATCCCACTATAACTCGATACTTATATCTTTCCCACAGAAAATCCCTCTCCCTCTCACGCTGCTCGCTTAAATCGTTCTCCCCGGGCAGAGTAAGCAACCCTTGTTCCATACAAATCATCACTTACATCCTCTCTTCAAGAGAAAGACCATTTTTTTTTTCTTCGTAACAAAAACGCGACCACCTCGTACATTTTCCAAGATCGTCCTTTCTTCGTGGAAAACACTGTTAACACCCCCCAGGCATGTGAATATCTCTCCATCCCCATAACTGCGATGAAACCTTCTCTAAAGCAACTTATTTTCTAGAAAACCTTCCTCTCGCATATACCGTGAAATGATATATGGAATCACGATCGAAGACGAATAATAAACGAAAAAACTATTGCTCGTTCTTAACGAAATTTTAATTTTTAATTACTTATCAATTCGAACTAATACGAAAATATATATATCTTGTTAATCGTTCCAAGATTACGAACATCATTAAAATTCATCTATCCTTAAATTCTTCCACCTTCTTTCTTCAACGCGTCTCTCAAGGGACATATAAGATTTCCAAAAACATAATTCCCACAATCGAGATCTTAAGAATCATAAAACCCCTAATTCTTCTCTAATTGCGATTTATCATAGGACATCCAGCATTTCCACCATTCATTTCGACCACCTCAATACGCTACCTCTATTCATCTTCCAGTGATCTTGAATATTATGGTTCGTAGACTACCAAGAAGAAGCCGAGTTGACACAGGCGACAATCTTTCGATCTTGTGGATGGAACATCGATGATCGTCCGATGGATCCAAGGATAATCCGACTAGATTGAATCCACCACCGTCTCCAGCGATCATGCCACACGTGTGCCATTTTATCTCGTTCCATGCCGGCCATGTCCGTGCCTACGCGAAAACATTCTTCGACAAGCGTGCACGGATTACGAAACGTCCAACGAAGCGCGTTATCGCCGCCACCCCACCCTTTCGGTGACCTTTCGCCGTGCGGGGGCGGCGTTGGACGAGTGTCGGACAGGAAGTTGGAGCGCGCGAAAGGCACGTGCTTCGAGCAACCCCGAATAACCAACCCACTCGTGCTTCTCTCACGTGTTGCCACGCTTCGTGTGGAGGAGGAGATGCTTCGACGTGGTTGTTTTGCAAATTGACGAGCGCGATAACCGTTGCGAGGCGAAGAAATTGGCGAAGGAAACGTTGAAATTGCG